TTTCGCCCTCCTCGCTGGTCCCATTAACAACAAGTATGGTCGAAGATGGGCTGGCTTTGGTGGTGTTTGCCTCCTCTGCGTCGGAGCTGCGATCCAGACTGGTGCCGTTCACCTGGCCATGATGGTTATCGGACGAATCATCGCTGGTGTTGGAACAGGTGTTGTGTCCACCGCTGTTCCGCTGTATCTCAGTGAGATCTCGCCAGCCAAGCATCGTGGTCTCTATGTTGCTGCTAACCAGGTCGGCATTGTCTCTGGGTAAGTAGACCATCGCATCAAGCGAGTGCAGTGCTAACTGGTGCAGTATCTCTATGGCTTTCTGGGTTGGCTATGGCTACTCCTTCTGGGACTACGGTAATGGCATCGATCTTGAATGGCGCCTCTCCACCGCCATGCAGTTTGTCCCCGCTCTTCTCTTCCTCGGTGGTGTCTTGTTCATTCCTGAGAGGTATGTCTATCATAGTTGTCCTTTACGCTTGCCGCTAACTCTTATTAGCCCTCGATGGCTCGTCGAAACAGACCAAGTCGAAGCCGCTAGCGAATCCCTCTGCAAGCTCCGAGGTCTCTCTGCCACAGAAATCCAACCCGAACTTGACGAGATCCGCGCCAATATCCTCTGGCATCAGGAGAACTCCATCACCTCAGCTCGCGTCTTCATTCAGCAGAAGCCACTCTGGTCCCGACTCTGGCGTGCTTGGTCTCTTGCATTCCTCCAGCAGATGAGCGGTGCCGCCGGTATTCGATACTACCTCCCCACCAACTTCATTGCCGCTGGTACCTCTGAGGAATTGAGTCTGCTTGCTTCTGGTATCGACGGAACTGTGCAGGTGGTCTGCACTATTGCAGCCATGTTCTTCATTGATAAGCTTGGCCGAAGACATTCTCTTGGTATTGGAGCTATCATCATGGCTTTCTGCTTGATGGTGAGTAACAATAGTTTGGTTCGCTATTCGTCTGCTAACAAAGGTTCAGATCAACGGCGCCCTGCAAACCGCGTATCCCGGCCAGAACAACCAAAGCGCCAACTACGTTAACATTTTCTTCATCTTCTTCTTCACTGTCGGATGTAAGTCACTGCACCACGCACCAAGAACGCAAAACGCTAACAATTGCACAGACAGTATGGGATTCGGACCCTGCGCTTGGATCTACGCCTCCGAGATCTTCCCCGCCAACTGCCGCTCCAAGGGTCTTGCCATCTCCTCCTCCGGCTCATCTCTCGGTTCGATCATCGTCGGCCAGGTCTGGCCCGTTGCTGTCTCCCGTATCGGACCTCGCGTCTACTTCATTTTCATGGCTTTCAACGTCTTCGCCGCCATTCTTGTCTATGCTTGCTACCCCGAGACCAAGAACAAGACTCTGGAGGAGCTGGATTCGCACTTTGGATCCCTCAATGTTCATTCTGAGGAGGATGCTACGCCTAAGCAGATGCTTGGAGCTGAGGAGGAGCGAGTTGAGGTTAGGGATAAGTCTGTGTGATTCGGCTTGTGTCCAGGATGAAGCTTCTAAGGATAGCTTCGTGCTCATGCCTTTGGGGCGAAACTTTGACTATATGAGAACTCTTTCAGGTGCACATGGAAGATTATTTCATCATCTACATAGTTAAATAATTGAGACTCTTACTGTACTATGACCTCTTTGATACACATACTTGTGGCAGTTGGTTTCGGGTCTGACAGGTCAATTCTTGATCGTTTGGTGACATGAGATCGGCTATCGGAAAACAACTTTGCTAACAGTACAGGCGCACCATTTTGCTACAAATGCTTTCTCCAGAATCAAGTATGGATCCAAGTAAATATCATAGACCAGTGCTAGAACTCTTCATCCCGCGGAAGAGGTAGATTCAAATATATGAATATTATTACTGTGTCTAATCGCGTGACATGGTGTAGCTTTTTTCGCTTTGTTATTGATGTATCACTTGTGGTTGATGCAAGTGATTGAAGGATCATCCTTGAACCAGCGTTTACTTGTGACTTCTGCTGTTTATCTCCACTCTACTTCATGAGCATGGTAGGTCACATTTAGTTTAACTCAAGTGCTTCCCAAAAGTCAATGTTATCACATTATAGCCGAATCCTTACTGAGAGTAGGCTTCATGGTGTTAAACATAAAACTTCAGGGTATGTTAAAATCGATGTGAGGAGTTTTGTGGAGAAAAGGATCAGCTGCCTCGTTAGCGAGGGCGGAATGGATTCCACGCCAACTTTACTCCGCATTTTTACTCAAAGCGATCGGCTCCGACTTTGATCGTGATCCAGACGAGACATTGCAGGGAAGCAGTCGCGTCGGATACACCAAATCTATGTAGGATGATGGCGTGTTTGGCGGATGATGGATCCGCCGTACTTTGTAAGCTCCCTAATCATGGCTTCTTCATCTGTATACGTTTGTGAGACTTACAATGATATAGACAATAAACGCGTGTAATCGTTGTCGCAAACGTAAAGCGCGTTGCGATACACGTGAGCTGCTCTGCGATTCGTCTTCCATCGATCCCTTTCACTGATGTCAAAACAGAGATTCCTGCCTGTCAGCCATGTCAAAATTCAGGCTCGATATGTGATTACACGGATGGTCGCTCGGGCGACGTCTATCCTCGAAGTTACATCCATGATCTGGAAGCACAACTGATGCAACTGGAGTCTCAGCTTCGAGAGGTTGACGATGCGGCGACAACGGAGGTGTCGCCGCCTACTTCGACATTGCGCTCAGATGATGAGCCTGCCCAAGACTTGATTCGCGTCGGAGATGAGGGGCATGCGCATTTCATCGGAGCTTCAAGCGGTAGGGATACACAATTCACAGAAATTACTTGAGCTTACGGAAGCGTAGGAATGTACTTGGTCCGATCAGTCCTTGAGTCGGCTCAGCAGAACTACCCAAACTTCGAATCGCCATCTGAAACAACAGAAGCTCGAACCGGACCAAAGGAACCAGCTAGTAGCAGTACTCGAATCGCCTTGCCGTCACGAGAGACGGCCAATAGTCTTATCGACACGTTCTTCAGCCAATATCAGGTTCAATATCCCATTATCGATCAGCAAGAATTTAACAAGGCCGTGACGGAATTCTACAGCCGCCAAAACGATAGGGATGGCCAAAATCGACCAGCATCTGGCGAGGTGTGGACTCGATTCATGCTTAACATGGTGCTTGCGATCTCTCTCATGTTCATGTCCAACGATCATAATGAGAGCACGACCTTATCCAAAAGCTTCACTGCCAATGCCATGGCGGATATCAGTCTGATTATGCAGACAAAGAATGTCAAGTCGGTTCAATGCCTGCTACTATTATTGCTTCTCTCGATACTCGACTCATCGTCTGCGCCGGTTTGGTATATCTCCGGCCTTTGCATGCGCATGTGCATTGATCTCGGATATCACTCAGAGACCACAATAGCTATTTCTTCAGCCAGTAACGACATAGAGGATGAGAGGATACGTGAAGCAGATACAAAGCGAAGGCTATTCTGGGTAACATACAGTTTTGATCGGACCCTCAATATCCTTCTTGGTCGGCCCTTCACCTTTGACGACTTTACCGTCGACATTCATCTGCCGAGACATTCGTTAGTACCGAATAAGCGGCCGCAGATACTGCACTGGCTTGAACTTCAACAACTCGAAAGCGAGATCGTACATAAGCTCCATGCAGTACGGCGTGACGATGCGGCTCATGTCGGAGAGGACACTGACCTTACTGAGTGGACTAAGGAGATGACCCAGCGGTTGAAAGGCTGGAACTCAGTAGCCCTGACTCTCACTGACTCCGATGGTCACAACGTGAACTGGTGGGGCTACTGGTATCGTACAGCGCTGCTCATCCTCTACAGACCGTCTCCGTCTCGTCCAAACCTCAGTACGTCTGACACGTTGTCATGCTACGAAGCTGCAAAGGACCTTATTCAGCTCTCATACCTTCGTATCAGCGAGGGTCTGATGGACTTCACCTGGATAGACCTACATTTTCAATTTATGAGCGGAGTCACTCTCGTATTTATTGTCTGGAAGAATACTCAGGCGAGAATCAAGGCGAAGGATGATTGGATCTCGTTCAAGAGCTGTTTGTTTCAATGGAAGAGTATACTGGAGAGACTGGGAGTGCGATGGGAAAGAATTGCTCGAGCGCGTGAAGCACTATCCAAATTAGCTGATGCTACTATCGACCTTGTCGAGAAGGATATGATGCGATCAGCAGGAGGCGGCCAACGGCTACCAATACACCACAACTCAGAAGAGTCTCGGCGAGATCGAAGGCGTTCTATCATACAGCAGCTCCGGAGACAGGATTCTGATGGCGTATCGCAGCGAAACTTGGTCGTTGGAAGCGATGCAAACATGCAAGATTCTAGTCCTCGAGAGGTAAATCTAGAACGTGGAAACAGAGGAATGGATCAGATTTATGGACCTCCCATAGACGCCGAGACTCAACATCGACCAGCAGTTCATATAGCCGAATATGGGGCGGAAGCCACGGGTGACAATTGGACCACTTTCGATACATCAACAAACACTCAGCGAGGGCTCTTTGGCGACACACAGAGCCACAACACTATATCATCAATGATACCAGAAGATACGTGGCCTCTCTTCGATCTCTCAGATGTAGCAGTCGCACCCGATGAGCTAAACTTCTGGACATACTTATCAGCCCCAATGCTCGGCGTGGAGGATATGTCAACGTCCCAGTTCAACGCTACGGGGAGGCCAGATGATGCTTTCACGAATAGCATTCTGAACTTTCAGGGAGACTTTAGTAATATCACGCCTGAGATGCCAGTTGAGTATCCGGAGGATAGAGACTATGGTCACAACGCTGGGCAGTAATAATTAGCAATTTTTAACCAACAAGGAAATGTAACATAGAATGAAAATTCCCTTGAAATATGGGAATACGTCGTATTGACTGCTATGGGGCAAGATCAGACCCCAACTATGGCCACGCCCACTAAATCACATTCAAATTTATCAAGTTAGACAGTCATCGTGCTACTAAGTCCTGCCACCAACAGTCAAGAGATACAAGCTTCCGGTAGTCGAGTTGACATTCGTCGGGGAACCCAGATACAAAACATCCGTTCCATCACTCCTCATCAAGGCCTGAAGACGCTGTACCTTCTTACCGACAGCCGGCTCAATAGCAGTATTGGTCCAGCCAGCCCCACCAACATTCTCCAGGACAAAGGCACTGGCCGAAGAGCGACTGTAGTAGATGCGAGCAGTTGTTCCGTCATGAGTGATACCAATACCAGCGCTAGTCTCACTGTCGCTATACAGAATCTCACGCGTCCAAGGATTCGATGTGCCATATGTGGCTGTTGCACGGCGGACTTGCCATGTTCCGCTAGTCGAGGTCTTGAAGCGATAGGCACTCTGGATGTGAACGGTACCAGTGGGGCGCTCGTATAGTGCCATCTTTGCGCTTTGGAAGGCTGGGCCAGGTGAAGCGTTGATGTCGCCGCTGTAGGTCTCGCCTGAAGTCAGAGGCTGATACACGATATCCGCGGTGTTTTGGGTGATGGGTGTCGAAACGGTAGATCCAGAGGCGGAGGAGAAGGAGTTGGTGGATGGGCGATACCGGACATAGCTTCCCTGGTGGCGCACAGCAGACGCGGGATACTTGCTCCATTCCCACTGAACATGAACATCTCCATCAGATGAAAAGGCAATGTCATCAGGATACACAGAGTACCCTTTGTTATACGCCCAGAGGCTGACACGGGCCCACGTCTTGCTGCTCGTCGTGTACTTGTAGAAGTAACCTCCTCGTGCAGAGCCATCACCAGATGCTTGTCCTCGGACGATCAGCCATAAGTTTCCATCGGCATCACGCTTGATAACAGGGTATGTGATGAGGACACTCTGATCGGGCATATCAGAGCTGGCGTTGACGAGAGTGCTGCTGTATGGCTGAGACGAGCGGAAGTACTTCCATGGCTCGTTGTGCATGCTCGTGAAAACATGGACATAACCATCGCCATCAACGCTGATACTGGGAGTGTTGTGTCCAAGATCATCTGCAAAGACAGCACACTCTCCGTCTGAGTCTCTGACACAGTCGCGAGAGACAGTGCCATCTGAGATAGAGCGACGCGCAACCATGACATTATTATCAGCAACAGCACCACCAGGCGGATTCCTCAGATATGCAAGCCAATCATAGCCGCCGTATTCATCCAGAGGATCCCACCAAGCAGCGCCACTGGTAGCATCGACAGCAGTAGAGATGGTGACGAGACTACCAGGGCTGATAGTAGCGCGTACCGCTGAAACGGCAGCCAGGAAGATGAGGGATTTAAGATTCGCCATTTCGAAGTGCAGAGGCAGAAGAATGAGGAGTTGAAGTTGATCTGCTGATGGGAAAGAGACTTTGACCATTATCCACTCTTCTTTAAATAGTCCATCACGATATCCTGGTCTGGAGTCGGCGATAATTCCGCTGCATGCTTCCCCAGATTTTCTCCGCACTTGGGATCAGCACAGAAGCTGGGGTAGAACCATGGACATGGGATGAGTTTCTCGAAGGAACCGCCGTGTCATCCAGAATTTCATCCGCATGATCATTTTCGTTGAAGGATCGAGCTTGGTTCAGTTGTCAAAGCACTTCTTAGTTCCGCGTGGTGGAGATGCCGCCTTAAGCGGAGGTGGGTGGCGGAACGGCCGGGGTCGGGTTGCGGGGGGCGGTGGTTCCGTTAACTGGAAATGGCTTCACCTTGATTCGAGCTCTCCATTTGTAAGCACAGGCCGCCAAAATCAAGCAAAAGCAAAAGATTGCTTTGCCTGTAGTAGTCGTACAAATCCTCGGGATATGGACCCTTCTGGAACACTATCACGGTCGGTAGAAACAGTCTTGCCCGACGATCTAAACGACAAGTCAGAATTAATGACATCTTGCCCTTTCAACCATTCTTCATTTATTACATCGAGTTAGCGCCGTCAAAGCCGGATGCCTGTACCTAAATCCGCAACGTAGCTCAGAAGCCAATCCATCAAGCACCGAGAACTTATCCGTCAGCTCCCATATTGAGTCTTAAAAACTAGTTTCCCGCAAAACGCTGGCCTTGCTGTCTCGAATCATCTCCTGCATCCAAGCAGGAAACCCGCGAATCCCAGATAAAAGGCCTGCATATCCTGGCAAAAAGAGGTCTCCACGGCGGCCCTTCAAGACATGATCTACAATCGCTTCGGCTGCCTCATTCGGCTCCTGAAGTGGATCCTGGAAAGTCGAATGTGTAGTGAGGTTCTGTATCAGTGGCGTGCGAACCCAGTAAGGAAAAACAATGCTACGAGAAAAAGATTAGATAACTTGATGTCTAGGAGAAAGAAATTACACTCACCTTGTAAGCACGTCTCTCGCGTTATATCTATGCTTCAGATCTTGCGTCAGGCCTTCATGGAAGGCTACTAACCCGGCTTTCGTACAGCTATAGTCGATATTGCTTGCGATGGTAATAAAGCTAGCCACGCTAGCAATTGTCACGACATGGCCGTGCTTCTGCTTGATCATGGATGGGAGCAATTCTTGCACAAGCCAAAAGTGCGCCAGAAGATTGACCTCAACCATCTGCTTGATCTGATCTGCAGTGCAAGCAAGAATGTCTTTGCCTAAAGCGATGCCAGCATTATTGATGAGAACCGTTGGATCTCCGATTTCCCGACGGACTTGTTCCATGGCTTCATCTATGCTATGTGGCGAAGTGACATCAACTTTGTAAAAATGTGCATTTGCTGAGAGAGTGCTTTTTGGTGGATGTATGTCAAAGGATACAACTGTGATATTTCTGCGGGAGAATTTGTTGACCATTTCAGAGCCGATGCCGCCACTACCACCTGTGATGAGCACGATTTCCTTGCTCCAGTCCCAAGGTTGTGCGGTGGATGATGTGTAGAGTATGATTCGATTGAGAAATTTGTTGATGATGAAGCAAATGCTAATAGTGCTAATGACTCCAAGAAGGAACCTGAAGAAATTTGTGATCATGATTGCACTTACTACTGCTCGAACAGGCGTGCTTAAAAAAGACAGATGAGTTTCAGAAGCAAATCTGTCTGCGTGAAAGTATGCCACGGCATCAGATTGTTTATCAATTCTGCAGTGCAACTTATTAATCCACGTCAGCCACTTAAAATCAACATTCATTGCGTACCTCTTTCGCATGTGGAGAGCTGAAATAGGTTGATAACAAGAAAATCCCACCTTTCCTGCATACAAAAATGACAAAAATAGTCTAGGTCCTATTGACTGCAGGAGCTGAAAGATCACAATCAGCTTGGCGATTGGGTGAAAAGTCACCACGAGTATGTTCGCTTTACATTTGTACTGTTTTCTATGTAATTAGCCGCTTTGAATAGAGTTTAATGGGAGGCCTCAATAATCCTTGCGGCATGATGGGTGGAACATAAACCCACACTGATTAGCCAAACTCACCGGCGCTGGATTTATCGAGTATGGCGGCATACTAGTAATATAATTATTGCTGTTATATCTCACGGTCAAGTGGCGCCGTCCGAACATAGCCTATCTTTCAAAAGGAGCCATACTTAAGAAGATTCTATATACTTAGAGTTTGTAGTATAAATATGTGTTCCTCCCTTTCCCCTGCAGACATCCCCCTTCTCATCAGCAGATTTCTCTATCCTCAGCTTCTTAATGCTTGGGTTCAATTGATTGCCACAAATGCAGAAGTTATCGTGTTCTAACGGACTATAGTACTTGGTCTGGAGAGCAAAGTAGTCAGTCTCCAGAGCAACAGTACAGAAGTTTGCGCACTCTTCCAGAGTGCTGTTTCCCCATTCCAAATAGTCTTTGCCCAGTAACACGTATTCCTCCTTACTCTCGAAACATCCGACATTGGCGTACTCAATAGTCAGAGGTTGGTAAGAACTAAAGACTTCGATAGGACGTTGATCCGGACCACAATCTTCGCCATAGCCGCAGCGAGACTCGCAATCCCAAATCTCGTTACGCCTGCTATCCATTCGCAAACGATCGTCGCATACACAGGTGTCGCGATTTTGTAGACCGAAAACAGGTAGGGAGTGTGAGAGACAGTAGGCCTGACAAGAAGAAATAGATAAAGGCTTGATATGTCTTAACCTAGGACCTGATAAAGCAAGGGTGGGACGATGAAAATCTTGAATTTGGTTCCCACTAAAATAGCATCCGAGGCGCCAATATGCAGGAGGGGGATATGATTCTGGTAGAGCTTTTTTGGTCGGGCCGACACAGTAGGCTTGCCCTGGGATAAGACTCGTAGTACAGTTCCTTGGCGATATTGATGGGTTGGCAGCTGTAAATAGAGAGAGACTTATGTCGTGCTGGTCAAGGACCGAGAGACAGTCATCTCCTTTCTCAACTGTATACCAACGCCCGCATTCTTGATTCGCAGCCGGACTGGCGTTCTCAGGTCGTTGAATAACCTCATCAGCATAGCTGGAGTCTGTCGAGTCAGACTCGCTGGCAGTTCGGTTGTAATGGCCGTCAGATGGCGTAGTGCAAACGAATTTACCGAGGTATATTGTCCCTGACGGGAAATCATTGCAATCGTCACGAATCCAGGGATTGAGAGAAATGAAGTCTTTTATGGTGATACCCAAGTATTCAGAAACAGAGGTACAGGTGTCGTTCTCTTTAACTTGGTAAGTATTGCATTGAAACGGTAGACAAATTGGCACGTCTTCAACCATATCGTAGCATTGGAGGATGTCGGGATTGTTGTAGAAGATCTCTGCAGACGAGACGCTGTACTTGAGAGCTAGTGAGTCGCAAGTGTCGTTGGCTGTTGATATATGTACATGAGAAAGACAAGCCACGGGTGGCGGCGGGCGACGGCTTTGACCTTTCTCAGGAAGTATCCTGTGGAATTGGAAGTAGCTGGTGATATTTAGATAATATCCGAGCCATATCAGAATTGGCGTGTAAATGATGAATGAGAAAAAGCATGTTAAAAATGTCTGAGATGATGGTCGAAGATTTCTTCTGATTCTTGCAAGTCGCATTTTGGCGATGTTGGGGTACCAGTTTTTACACCAAGCTTCGAGGCCGGTCTCAGGCTGATTTAAGACAAACAGATGACCGACTCAAGCGAGAGGGGCTAAATATTTTCGAACTCGTTCAGTAACCTATTTAGGATGCCAAGACTAGGCAACTTTACAGAACCAACAACATGGCACGAGAGTCCCATTATTATAAGATTAGGACTCCATCGACGGCCCGAAAGGATCTTGTTAGACTGCAAAGAAGCATCATGCACCGTATTAATCGCTAAATGACAAGAGTCTAAAGCTGCCTTTTTACCAGATTCTACCAACACCAGCTCCAAGCTTGGCCACGGTGGGGACAAGCTTGAGCGGAGTCAACTTGTACTTGTAATCAGCCTTGTAAAAGTTGCCCTTCTGTGTAATGTTAACTCCAGCCTTGCCCCAATCGTTCTCTGTTTGATAGTCAGTCGTGATATCCTTGAATGGCAGAAGAATTGTACATACTGGCTCCAAGGTTGGCGTAGCCATCAAGCTCCTCGTCACCGCAAGTGCAAGTGTTGGGAGAGTCCATGGGGATGACAAGACCGTAGGTGCTCAAAGCCTCGCTTGTGTTGCCCCGGAATACATTGCCCTCAACAAGAACCTTTTTCAATCAGCCAAAATCCCCCCAAACAAGCTTTGTGGGACATACCTGGTTATCAGATCGACTGTGGATAGCCTGGTACAGGAAGTCCTCGTAGAGATTGTTGTAAATATGCTGGTGGCCAAACCGACCGGCAGGACCGCGGGTTCCCATGTTGCGCCAGTAGTTGTGATGATATGTGACGTGGAGGTGGCCGAAGTCGAGATCGCGGAAGGTAGCGTCGTTGCCAACGAGGGAAGACTTCCAGTGGTCGTGGAAATAGTTCCATGAAACTGTGATCCAGTCCGAGGCGCGGATGATGTCGACTTGTCCATCCTGGTAAAGGAAGTTAGTCAAATATGTTGTAATTTGGGAGGTTGCACGAGACTTACGTAGTGATCAGGGCCTTGGTTGATGTCAGAAGCAAACTCGTTATGATCAACCCAGACGCGAGTGCTGTTTCGGATAGTGATGCAATCATTATCCAAAATATGGGTGATCTTCAAGTTCTGCAGAATGACATTGTCCCCATGATAAACATCGACACCGGCACCGGTGATGTGAGCGGTCAATCCAACACCAATAAGCGAAGTGTTGGATCCGACCTTGAGGCGAGAAGGAAGAGTAACCTTGCCCTTGAGCTTCACGATCTTGGGCTCGGTACCCTTGACAGCAGCTACAAGCTCCTCGGCGGTGGTGACAGTAACAGTCTTTCCGCCCTTGCCACCAGTGGTGATGCCAATGGGGTTGTCCTTGGCATAGCCCTCAACACCCCAAGTCGCGAGACTGAGATATTCCTTGGGAAACGCAACAGTAAGAGTCGCAAAGACACCGCAGAGAACCGAGGACAGCTTCATCTTGGCAGTTGAACAAGAATGAGAAGGAACAGAGATGTCAATGGCACAAACATGGCCTTTGGCACGGTATATGTATTCAAGATCATCTGCGCTTTTTTCTCTTTACATCAGAGGACCCCGAGCTCGGTTAGGATTAAGGTACTGGTTAATTCTGGGGTGTTTGCGGGGAACCCCTGTCGGCCTTGACAATTAGCACCAATGATCAGACGAGAAGGATGCTTCATCGAACGGCGCAGATCATGAGGTGATTGTGAGTGGTGGAATATGTTTTTCCGTCAAATTACGGTTAAAGATAAACAATGATCGGCTCGGACCTTATTGGAGTAGGTGGAAGTGCTAACGAATTGAAAACCCTTAACGGAAACAGTATGCTTAAGTTGCGGGATGATTCCGTATTCTTTATTGTCCCTACATAGGGAATCTTCTAAGGTTGAGAAGAGGAGTCTCATAAATTCACTTGATATGCTATACATGATGTTGCAATGTTCACTTGATCAGTATCGTTCCATCGCTTGTGCTCGTCCCAGTGGACTCGAAGCCCAAAGGGACACAAATGAGCATTCAAATTTCCGCATCTAAAGTTTTGACTAGTCTAATATAAGGTAATGAGTTGGGGGTTGGGGGTACGCGGTCAAGCGGGAGATGGTTCCATTGCATATGTCAAGACTCGAGGTACCAACGCGTCCTAGTCTCCGATCACCTCGGCTAGCAGCCCTCGACCGCAATAAAGCCATCAATCATATCTCACTAACGAAGATGAAAGCGGTTTAGTATACAGACGCAAAACTGGAAGTCTTGAACCCTAGGCACGATGTTAATGAATAGATACCATCACTTTTGAGTAACACTTGTCAGCGCCAAGAGAAATAGACCCCAGCAATGGTTTGTGAGCCTGGATGAATGATGAATACCGCTCCTCGGCGTTGGGGGTTCACAGGACCAGAGATCACAACTTCGTGTCTTTGAGGCTTCTGACTACAAGATTTTGGTATCTGCAGTGTATCAAGGCTATCTATCTATTGATATCCTTGGTGCTCTGAGCTTCATCGATCCAAGCACTCCCATTGTTGTCATCATCCGCATCGCGACGAGGAGAGTGCCCTCTACTTTTCACCCAATTGGGTATCACGATGTATCGCCCTCTCAGTTGTTCTTCATCTCACCAAGAGCAGCGACCCGATTCTGAGCCAGCATCATCAGCCGGTCTACCTGAATGACACCACCATTCTTGAGACCAAGCAGATGCGCGCTCTTGATCAGGTTCTTGATCTCACGGCCATTCAGCTTCATCTCAGCCAGCTTGTTCATCTCCTCGTCTGGGATCTTAGCCTGAGTGCCCCCAGCGCGATTGATAAAGTTCTGCCAGACCTTCTTCCGAGCTTCGAAAGTCAAGTCCTTGTACGGGAGGAAGAGATCCACCCGGGACTGGAAGGCAGTGTCGATACTGGCTGTTCGATTGGTCGTGAGGAAACAGACCCCCGTGTAATACTCCAGTTTGGTGAGGAATACTGTTTTTGTTAGCATGCGCGTGAAGGAAGAGTGGGACGACCTGGTGCTTACCAGCTACAAGCTCATTCCTGGCTAGATCGCTGTCGGTGCGGGCACCGAGGAATACATCGGCCTCATCAAGGAGGAGCATAGCATTCCAGAGACCACAGAGAGTTAGTGCTCGCTCCAGCGCCAGCTCGACCTCCTTTGGTACGGTTCCCAGATCTCCAGCACTCATCGAGTACAGTGGCACACGTGCCTTCTCAGCAACTGTATATCCAGTCAGCCTGTAAATACCCCTCCAGTGGTCAAGTTCACTTACCTGCTTCTGCGGTATAGGTCTTTCCTACGCCAGGTGGACCAAACATCAGAATGATGATGCCACGACCTACAAATGTCAGATACTGCTCGAGTTTGCTACTGAGGACTACTCACCTTTGTCTTGGATAAAGTCGTCGAAGCTATTGGCGAGAGTCTTGCTCTCCACAAACTCCCAAGCAAGCTGCTTCTCTGTGCCTGGAAGCTCGAGATGGCTGAATGCAGCATCATTCCACACCACAGGAGCTAGGTCATCCACATAAAACTGGGCTATTGGTGACTGTCAGCTCTTCTACGTGGAATCCAGAGACATCTCAACTTACCCCAATCCTTAGTCTTGAGGTCAAATCCTTTCAGCCAGGGCGTTGCAACAAGGCACATGTCATCTGTGAGGGGCTCGAGATCCTCAGAGCGCCCTGCAGTATCATTTGGCGCTTTCACCATCATTTCTGCATTACCCTCCATAGGCGTATTTGTTTCCTTAGGTGTATCTGAGTCGTCGCTGTCGTCATAATCATCCTCACAATCGGGTCCACAGTCCCAACCACATTCATGAGCTTTGGCCTTCTTCTTGTCCGACTTCTTCGCTTCGTCCGACTTCTTCTTTTGGCCGATCTGGTCGTCGTCAACCAGGGGTGCAAGATCGGGTTTCACTATGTCATTGGTCATATAGTAGGCGTGAGCGTCAACAATGACTCGACCAGACACCTGCGCTACTCGTCAGCCAAGGCCATTGCGTTATCTCCGTGGATAGTCTTACCGGTCGCTCCTCTGACTTCCTAGGAGGCAATAGAATCTTTGATCCAGAACAAGTTTGGAAGTGGTAGCCACGCAACGCTTCAAACTTTCGGCCTCGTTCTACCATCTGCTCGCGGATCTTTGAAGGTGAGTTGTGGAAGGACAGGGGATACGCAGGTAGCAAAGTAACGCGCCGAAAGGCAGAGAATTCCGGGATGATAATCATGGTGTTGGCATAGCCACAACGACTGCCGTTCCAGTCCACATACTCCATATAAATCTCCCAGTATGATGGCATTCGAGGTTCTTTCACGAGTTTGTATTTGGTGACACGGCATACAGCTTCGACACCATAGAACTTGGTGATGACAAACTCATGTGGAGCAAAAATCTGCCACAGGTCGTCGAACATGATGTTCCCAGTCTCGCGAGTCTTGACAAGCGCATCAACCTTGGGGGCCAAGATCGGGGTGAGAAATTTCAGGAGTTGGGCAGCAGCCTGCGGTTCATGCTCATCATCCTTTGACTCACAGAGAGACAGGAGACGATCCCAACGGTGGACGAGAGGCATGAATGGAGGCTTGAAGGTCCATTTCTCAACATCAAGATCAAGGTCTTGATATTTGTCCAGGACGGTCGAGATGACTGCCCGCATGGCAGGGCTCTGGATGGTGAAAGATTCGGTCTGCCATTTATGATCGTCGAAGATGTGTCGATGGACGATCGGGTCCTTCAAGGCGCTCTGTTCTATGTCATTATGCTCTTCCTCGTTGGTCGGGAACCTGGACCACCTCTCAGGACACGAGTCATAGATGCAGCGATGCTTGTAGAGTTTGGTGTCGGGAGACATTTTGAGTGAATGTTGATGGCTCCAGGTGTTGTGGTGAGGATGGGAAAGCTGAAGTGCAAGCCAAGAATTAGTTCAAGTCGACTCAAGACCCTTTCTTATAGTCAAGAAGGCCTAAGGTTTGTTACCGATTGAGTCACCGGAAGTC